CACTTAATAGAGTTCTTTCATTTTGGCAATTGTTTCTTCAATTTAATTTTCATTAGTTATTGTTGTTGCTTCAATATGATACTTTTACGCTTGGTATATGAATTTTTTCTCTTGATTATAAAACTAGTTACCTCCTTTTGATTTTTGAGGTTTATCTTAAGAGTTGAAATTAATCATTTTCTTATATCCAGCAATATTGGAGTGTACCATTTTTTGAGCCTAGTATGTAAAACTTAAATAATAAAATATTATTTTCTGATTAAATTAATTCAAACAACTTTATTAAAGTAATAAAATATTATTTTTTCTTTATGCTTACTTTTATATATTTTGGTGGTGATTATCTATAAATGAAACATTTCCATTTGAGCACTAACTAGCTTTGATGAAGTTGGCGTGTGATATCTATCTTGCAAGTTAAGATTAATCATTTCATTAATTCACATATTGTCATCATCACACACACCCTTGAACAAAAGCTTCTGAATACCCTCTAAAACAAAGCACAAACCCACTGGCAGCTTGGATATGTCTTAAAGACGTTAATTGTCAGAATAACATGCTAATTTTCAACCCAAAACTTAAATTCTATGGGTGAGGACCAACAAAATTTGTATTTTTTGATTAATTTATTTACTTCTTGATGCAAAACTAAGGGTCTATTTAGGGTAGCTGCAACTTATCTAGCTTATCCAGATAAGCTACTGGTGATAAGCAGCTGATCTGGATAAATTGTTTGTCTGTTTGGTTTGTGAGTTTGAAAAAAGTTGATTCTGGATAAATGACAATTCTATCTCTGTTTTAGATAAGTTGTTTAGCTGTTTGATTTGTGTGTTTTGCAAACAGCTGATTTGTAGTTTTTGATAGATAAAAGACTATTCAGACAAACGCAATGTTGTCTACACTAGAACTTTAACGACTACAGATCTGACAGTTGAGAACAAAATTACTCCATGTAATTGCTTCTACACTCATCTGATTGGTAGTTCAACTCTTTACATTAGTGGCCGATGAAACTAGATAAGTGAGTTATGATATTGTAATTTTCCACACCTAGCCTTTTTCTCTTTTGTAAATGTAGCTTCAATATGTTGTAAATGGATCTAATTAGAAATCTAGGGTAGTAACAATCAGCATGCATCATTGGGACAAGGATAATGATGATTATTCTATAAGAAATAAGTTGACTTGTATTGAAAATAGCATACATATGAACCTTTCTATAACACACTCTTATTAATATCTCACTACATTGCAGTCTATATGACGAACGTGATCTTCCATTTACCATTGAGAAAATGATAGGGAGCATGGCGTCGCGCTCATAACTAGACTATCATCTCGCCAAAAATAAGATTTTGGTCTTAAGCAATAGCAATCTTAGATCGGTGTATTTGCACCAAATTTTTCTATCATCTAAAATCTGACCATTCCACCATCTTGGAGATGCTCATAGCCAACTCTAATAACATCTGCAACAAAACCATCATAAATTACATTAATAGAGTTTTCTGAAAGATGGTGCTTTTAAAGCTATGACAGTAAAAGACCAAACCTCATCATCCTCTGCGTTGAGGGAAGTGAACCCGTTGAGATGTCCCACATGAATTTTGCTCCCCTCCATCCATCATAACAATGACGACGAACCCCTTCTCATTCAACCGGTGCACCTGGCATACAACCCGTCTATGTATGTTGTGAAGAAGAGCGTGAAATGGGAAGTTAGAAGTTGTGGGGGTCTCTGTATGTTGGCGATCCTACCACGGTCCTGCCGTTGTCTGTCAGTTGGAGATCCTGTGAGAAAGATGGGAGTTTGGATGGCGTTGTATGTCACGACTCCGTCGTTAACTTCCCGCTGGTTCTAATTGTGACTGCATCTTAAAGGTAGGCAAGGGCTTCGGTGAGCCAACGACTGTCTTCGTATCCCGCCATTCCGTCGTGCCTTCATAAACGATCGAGAGACGAAGATCTCAATAGGGCAGAGGAGACGAGGTTGGGAGAACCACGATCGCACAGGGGTAAATTGTAATAATCAGCGAACGAACGCGGACCGCGGAGATCATCCCTCGGTTCGCGTTATTCACAAAATGAAATGGAGTTTCGTAGACCGTGGTTAAAAAGCTCCAACCAAACAGGACGACGGCGTTTTGAAAACGCCGCCACAGGTAATAAGCTGCCCCAAACAGGCCCTAAGTCAAACACTCATGTTATTTGATTAAGTTCAAAACTCAATAGGAATATATCAATTAGTATTTCACGGTATTTTTAAGAAAATACAAGAAACGTTGAGTTCACAAGACAACTAGTGTGGTCTTTGGCTATTACATCTCCAACCTTCATTATACGTAATATCATGACACTATTTTGTTTAGCATAAAAGCTATTTGAGTTCGAAAGTTACAAATAAACTCTATGCCATATTATTTTGGTCATTAGGTATATAAACACTCAATTATTGATTAGGAGAAGACATGTCCCTAGCACTTCACAATTAAGATACAAAAAAAAATTAGATAAAGTTAATTTCAAGTCATTAAAGAATAATTATAAGAAAATAAACCGAATGTGAAAATATAACTGCACTTTGAAAAAAAATGCATTCCAAATTGACATTTCGCTCATTTTATGATGATCAGAGTTGTGAATGAGCTGAGCATGAGCGAGCTCAAGCTTAGCTCGTGTTTGGCTTGTGTTCGACTCGTTCGAAATTGGCTGACGTTCAAAATTGCTAGTGAACAGTGTGTTCGTGTTCGACTCGAAATTAGCTCGTTTAAATTATTTAAAAAAATAGATGTATGATGTTGGATTCGAACCTGCACCACTTTTGTACACTATAAGACAACAGTTATGAATTAAACTTAGATATAAGTATATATAATATATTACTATATAAATAATACATACAACTTATTTATTTCAAACTAAAACGAGGCAAACGCGATCGAACAAAGGGTTGTTCGTATTCGGCTCAATTACAATTCGAGCTTAAGAAATTTGTTCGCGTTCAATTTGTTTACTTAATGAAGCATTCGAGCACAAGCTACTTCACAAGTGGAACACGAGCTGTTCGCAAACAACGAGCTTTTTTAAAAACCCTAATGATGGCCCAAACAAAGCTAAGAATGGTGGCTATTGGTTATAATGTCAATTAAAATTATTGGAAATTAAAATGCATTCTTGTCATTCTTTTCCGTGAAGGAAATTTAGTACCGCTATAGCAGATGTAACATGGTAGAATAATTTTAATGTCAATGAGATTAAAACAACTGGCATAAATAAAATCAAAAGAAACGAAGTTTGTTTGTATTGTCCTGCACAAGGGGTGTCAAATAATCACTTAATAGTATGCCACTAACCTCGACAAAGAGTAAACATAAGCTTTGTGATTGAATGGTTAAAGTAGTTCAGAATAAATATTTTAAACTAATGCTTGTTGTGGAAAGCTTAAGCAAACTGAAGAAAGTCAGAAAGACAAACATAACAGATATATCTTTATGCCATTTTAAAAATGCCTTTGCGAAATCAAATTTGCACAGAAGAAAGAATATTTTTCATTAAGTTGAAAACGGTAAAGCCTTCTTAGTTTGAGAACTTCCGAACACTAGTAAACAAAAGAGAATGTTTATTTGTATGAAATTTTAAAACGGCAAAATAAAATAAGACCATCTTGTCAGAAATAAATTTGTTCATTGTGATGTGAGAAACTTGTAGAGCTCGTGAGTTCTCAGTGATACCAAGGGTTATAAAGGTGAGAAAAAAGGGGAGAAGGATCTAGCAAAAAGAAAATAAAAGCTAAGAAACTTTTATTCATCATTAATTGACAGCTCAAAATATTGTAAATTTCATGTGTTGAAATACCACATCTAATCTTTTACTTATAAAGCTTTAAGCGCTATAGGGACAGCTATATACAAAATAAGTAAATAAGTATATGATTGGATTGTTACAGGCACGTGCATACAATAAATAAGATTTCGGAAGGCACATGTGAAAAATTGTCTTAATGGATATCTGGAAGACTTCCACGGCCAAGAGTCGAAGTCACTGGCTAATTGGATGAAATCACTGGGTTCATTCTATAACCCGGACAAGGGACTGCTAGGTTGGAGCAGGTGCCCTTTAGGGAAGGGTGAACACATTCTAAGGTGAAGAAGTGGCAGCTTTGAGGGGAAAAAAAAGGTGGAGGTTGGCCAGGTGGCCAAGAGTCATCCATTAGAGTTTTGAAAAAAGAGAGTTCCATTATGTTTCCTATTATCGTTCTTTTAGAGTTCGGAGAAGATCCCCAAAAGTAGTATGATATATTTAATAAAGAGATGAAAGCCCTGTATGGGAATTTCTCCAAAGTTTCTAAGCTCTTAACTCTGAATTTAAGGGATTAATTCTCCTAAATAAATTGATCAAACCCTTTTGTCGACCCAACATTAGCAAGACAACTAGCAACAGTTTAGTCGGCCGAAGTGTGCAAAGATTTTATATGACCTTTTAAGTTTATTATGCGGCAACTCTATGCTCGTTGTTAAGGCACCAATTTATTCAGATTGAGTCACTTTAGCCTATTACAGTTTTTTCAAGTTCCATACTTTAGATAAAAAAAAATTATGTTTAATGAATTGGAGATAGGATTTTTTGTATATCTAAGATATAGTATTATTCATTAAAGATAAAAATTAGATCATAGCTGGATAACGTATGATTTTCTTGCCATTAAATAAGATTTCTAAGAATATAAATCAAGCACGAAAATTTAATCGCGTGTTGTGAAGAGATGCATTCCAAATTCACATTTGGATCATTCTATTGTGGCCCTAAAAAAAAGGTGTTGTTGTTTACACTGTTAAATTAAAAATTATTGGAAATTAAAATGCATTTTTGTCTTCCTTCTTCCTGAAGGAAATTCAGTTCCATTATGGCAGATGAAACACGGTATAAAGTTTAATGGCAAAAAGATTAAAAAAAACTGGCCAAGAAAAAAAAAATCAAAAGAAACAGATATTGCTTGCCTTGTCTTGCACCAGAGACGTCAAAAACCCACTTAATGGCATGCCTTTAAACTAGAAAAATAGTAAACAAAAGCTTAGTGATTTACTCATTCATTCAAGTAGTTCAGAATAGAATACTTTAAATTAATGCATGTTGTAGAAAGTTTAAATAAACAAACTGAAAGAAGTCCAAAAAGTTGAACGGAGAATATATAGCTAAATTCCATTTTCAAAATGCCTTAATTAGTCCTGACCAAATTTGTACAGAAGAAAAAAAATTTCTCATCAAGTTCAAAATTCAAAACAAAAAATCTTTCTTAGTTCTAGAATTTCCGAACACATAAGTAAATGAACGAAAACGTTTTTTTCTATAAAATTTTCAAAAGGAAAAAAAGATAAGGCCATCCTCTTGGATCTCAATAGGTCCATAGTGATGTGAGAAACGTGTAGAACCAGTGATTTCTCAGCGATGCCAAGGGTTATAGAGGTGAGGAAAAAAAGGGAAAATGATCTGGCTTAAAAAAAAAAGGTAAGAAAAATTGTATTCGCCACAGATTGTGATCTCAACATATTGTAAATTTCATGTGTCAAAATGCCCCCTCCAATCTCTTATTTATAAAGCTTTTAGCAATCTAGAGATACCTATACAAAAAATAAATTAATTAATACAAGATTGGACTTTCACAAACATGTGAACACAGTAAGTAAGATTTTGAGGGGCACATACGTAAGGTTGTCTTAATCAATACCTCAAAGACCTCTACGGCCAAGCATTTAAGACCACTGAACTGATTAGAGGAGAACATCAGGCTCACTCTATAACCCATACAAGGGGCCCCGAGGTTAGAGCGAGTGATCTTTACGCTAGTGTAAACAACTTCGAAGGTGAAGAAGAGGCTGCTCGGAAGAAAAAAGAGGTGGAGGTGGGTCCGGTGGCCAAGGATCGTCCATTACATTTTAAGCTAGACTAAGGCTTTGTTTGACGCCGCTTATAAGCGCGTTTGTCGTTTTCAAAAAGCCGCTCCACTGTTTGTTTCGTGTGTTCGCATCGCGTGTCCGGAAACGGCATATGGCGTCTTTTAATAGACAAGGCTGAGGGATCAACCCCGCGGCCCGTGTCTTCAATCCAACTTCGAGGTTTTCTTCCTCCCGTGCCTTTCTGTTCGTCTCCTCCCTCGCTCGACCGTTGTTGCCCTAGGTCACTTCTCCCTCGCCTCTCCCTCAATTGCTCCCATCGACAGATCCCAGCTGGTATCTTGCAATGTTATGCTATAATATTCATTTTGGCTATAATATTCATTCCCAGCTGGTATCTTGCAATGTTATGCTATAATATTCATTTTGGAGGGTTTTCATTGCACTGGTTATCTCTCTGCGATTTTCCGATTTTGTGGATTTCATTGGATAATTTCTTTGCAATAATTTACGTTTTTTGGTTGATCGAACTTGATTTCTTAAGATTCTCACTCCTATTTTAAGTATTAAGCTTCATTTGCTACATATAAATTTTGGCTAGAGGTTCAACTATATATGTGACTTACAATCACCCTTGATGACTCATCATTTGCAAAATTGAGAATGAGAAAACGATGCCTGAAAAGATATACCCGTGGCCGGAAATTAGTAGTATTGACAATAGTTTGAAATCATAGCCACATAATCTCAAGTAGAAACCAACTTGAAAAGAAAAAATGAAATGAGGAATTACTATACTTTCTTAATAATATAAAGGCAGAAGTTGCCTTTAATCGAAGTAACCACCAAAGAACAAGAAGAAGATTTATGAAGTGAAGCATTTCAGACATCCACCGCTGCCAAAGATTTCAATTGATGTGATCAGTAGAAAGTTTATCAGCTTTTGCTATAACATTCTCTATCATATAACTTCTTTGTGTAGTTGGACTTGGGTGTGTGTGTGTTGGTGGTTGGACATGGGTGTGTTTGCTAGTGGTTGGACTTGGGTGTGCTGCTGGTGGTTGGACTTCGGTGTGTATGTGCTGGTGGTTGGACTTCGCTGTGTGTGTGTGTTGGTGGTTGGACTTCGGTGTGTGTGCCGGTGGTTGGACTTGGGTGTGTGTCTGTTGGTGGTTGGACTTGGGTGCGTTTGTTGGTGGCTGTACTTGAGTGCTTGTGCTGGTGGCTGGACTTGAGTGTTTGTGTTGGTGGTTGAACTTGGGTGTGTGTGTGTGTGTTGATGGCTGGACTTGGGTGCGTTTGCTGGTGGTTGAACTTGGATGTGTTGCTCGTGGTTGGACTTGAATGTGTTGCTTGTGGTTGGACTTGAATGTGTGTGTACTGGTGGTTGAACTTTGGTGTGTCTCAAGTTTTGCCTATTACATGTTTCATGATGTGTTAAAGTTGTCATGTTTTTTGTTTTAGTGCCTTTATGATTTATTTCTTAATCATTTTTTTTATTAGTAACGTAATCGTTATCCTTTTTTGTGTGTTAAGCTTATCCTGTTCTCTACTGTTCTAAAATGATTTTTTGCTTTTCAACTATAAAATATATCCCTATGACGGTTTTGTTGCAAACAGCAATAGTGTACAGAGGCATAATAGTCATTTATCTAAAAACAGCAACAAATCAACTGTTTTGCAAATGCACAAAACAAACAGTAAGTCAACTTAGTCGGATCAGATGCTGATCAGCAGCTTATCTGGATCAGTTGCTCATCAGCAGATTATTGATAAGTTGTAGCTGTCCTAAACAGATCCGAAAATCCTACATAAGTGAATTCTGACAAAAGAGAATTTCGTTAAGTTCTCCATTATATCACATTTAGAGTTTAGAAAAAATCCCCAAACATGAGATGATATACCAAACGAAATCAAACAAAAATATGAAAGCTCTACATGAGAATTTCTACCAAGTTTCTAAGCTCTCGTCTCTGAATTTAAGGCAATATGTTAACCAAACCAGTCGGTCGACTCAACGTTAGCAAAACTAGCCATCAATATAGGCGAGGACCTAATGAACTTTTTAATTGTTTATTATTAGGTGATTTTTTGCATGTTGTTAATTCACCAATTTATTCAAATCAATTAACTTTAGCCTGTTACATGTGCATTGAGATCCACACTTTCGATAAAAAAAAAATTATGTTTAATGAATTGGGGATAACATATTTTACAAACCTAAGATGTAAGATTCTTCATTAAAAATGAAAATTAGATCATAATAGGATAATGTATGATTTTTGTGCCATTTAAACAAAATAAACCAAGCACACAAATTTAGCCACAGTTTGTAAATGGATGCATTCGATGTTGATAATTTGTGCACTTTATTGTGGCTCAAACAAAACAAGTAATATTGATTGTTGTTTACAATGTTAAACAAAAATTATCCAAAATAAAATGTAATTTTGTCTTTCTTTTTCTTGAAAGAAATTCACTTGCGTTATAGAAGACAAAACATGGTATAACAGCTAGTTGAAATAAAATCAAAAGAAATTGAGATAACTTGTCTTTTCTTGCACAAAATGCATCATATAATCAGTTAACGAGGAGCTAGTAGTCTGGACAAAGAGTTAACAAAAGGTTGATGACTAAATGATTCAATGCTTCAAAATGGAATAGTTTAAACTAACGCTTGCGAACAAAAGCTTAGAAGAATAAACTAAAAAAGTCAAAAAGTCAAAAAGTCGAATAGAGCAGATATATTAATGTCATTTTCAAAATATTTTAACAACATCTTAGTGTCTATTTGGGGAAGCTGGAGTTTATCAATAAGTTGTTGCGTAACAGCTGCCCCAAGAAGTTGTTGCGTAGCAGCTGCCCCAAGAAGTTCTTGCGGACAATCTGACTGACTATTTGTTTTTTTGCGGTTTAAAAACAGTTATACGACAGATGTTTATGGACAAATGATCATTCTGCCCTTGTGCAGTAATATTGTTTGTAATAGTGCTGATATAGTCATAAAATCCACATCAAAATAGTACAAAAGATAAGATATACAGCTCACTTAACAATGAATATTAAGAATGCAAAACAAAAAAAATTATTAAAATTACATTTAACTATATGATAGTATTGTTTTTAAAACACAGACGACGTACGTCATGAGCTATGTCGTCCTCCAGAAATGTTATTAATTCCCGATTAGTGTCGGCAGTGAAATCTATCAGACTGTCTGTCAACACTTCTCTGTAATTCTCCGTGGGCACCTATAGAACTCTCCCGTAGCTATGTGCCCGACGTAACGCAAGTAAGGAAGTCTGAAGTCTGCAGTAGCAGAGCAATCAGCGGGAGATCCCTGAAATTCTGGAGCTCATCTTTCCAGAATACTACAAAAAACAATCTATTAGTCATAACATAAGTTGAAATTGCCAAAATAAATGATTAAGTACAATATTTTGCAGGTGTGAGGTCTCAAAGAACTTAATATAGCAACCAATGAATTTGTCACTACAAGAAGACAACAGACCTTGCAAAAAAAAAGTTCTTGATTGTCTTTAACCCACATAAAACAAAGCTCGTGTCTTACATGTCATCAAAAAGTTCATCCAGAAGATACTCATAAATCATATTGCCGAAAAAATGAGAGGAATTTGACAGTCTTCAATACGATTTCACATGTGACAGCAACAAATAATGATTAACAGACCATCTAGAAGAACCCTTAAAGTCCAATGTCTAATCATTGAAATCTCAAAACCATCAAAAGAAAAACAAGTGAAATGCAAATGAAAAAAAAATACACTTAAAAATAATGTAAAAGGCCCGAAACAATCAATATCAAATATACAAGGAACAAAATAAACAGGAATTGTACAAAATAAACAAGTAAAAATTAATAAAAGAAGTAATTATAGTTGTGCAGGCGTGAGGTCTCAAAGAAATTAATATATCAACTAACGAGTTTGTCACTGTCAATTTGTCACTACAAGAAGACAGTTGACCTTGTAAAAAAAAAATTTTATTATCTTTAAACACAGCCAGCATCCCAAACAACAAACACCACCACACTCATAGAACCCACAGTCACATCACAGCACAGCCAGCACCGCCTTACAGCAGCCACCTGTTGACCTCATTTTTAGTGAGGTCTAGTCTTTCTCGTAGGATTTAGG